TCCGGCCTTGCCCCCTTCATCTGCTTCACCTTCACATCAGTGGGCACAAAAACCCCGTCCTCAAGAAACTCCTTCACGTTGTATATTGTAATCAGCGTCTGAAACGCACTTGGCACCAAAATTATAGGCACCCCCTCCCCAATCTTGCCCCCTTTCAAGTGCATCTTTGGCTTCGAATCATATCCCATCATCTCATCCCCATAACCTAACCCTAATCCCCTTTCATCCGCCCCCATTAGCCTACTCTTCGCCACCAGCCCGTCCTTCCTTTGCTGGGATTCAATCCTCTGCCTCTCCTCCTCTCTCTTAGTAGACGCAACCAGGACGCTATAAAAATCCCTATTCTTGCACTCCAAAACAGCTTCCCTATCCTTCAACGGCTTCTCAACGGATCGAATCATAGAAATATAATCAATTTGCTCAGTTCCGTTCTGGGCAACACCCAATTTGTTATCGCGAGCGTCATCAAGGTCCATGTTCTTGCTGTCGTTGTTGCCGTTATTGTTGTCAGCATCAACGGAAGCCTCGGGGCGATACTCCTCGGGGAATTTCGGGGGGTTCCAGACGATGGAGTCAGAAGATGCGACCTTTCCAGTGAGGTAATCGAGGAGGGGTTTGCGGTCGGTGAAGGTGACGACGGGGATACAAAGGGCGCGAGCATCATGCATGTAATCGGTGTGCTTAATGTGGTGGTTCTTGATGTAGTAGACGAGGGTTTCGAGAGTGTAGAGGTTGCCCTGCTTGGAGCGGTAGGCGGTTTCGGCGTTGCAGGGAAAAGTGTAGTCGGAGCCGAAACGGAAGTCATCGTTGACGCGGACGATCTTGTCGAGGTCGCCGCGGATGGTATAGTCGCGGAGGACGGAGAGCGGATCCATCAAGAGAATGGAGTAAACGAGGCAAGATCAGACTGAAGTCTTTAGTCTGAACTCCGACGCCCAAGCGAGGTCCTATATTTTTCGTTCGAATTTACAAATAAATAAATAAATAAAAGAGAAAGAAAGAAAAAACTTTGGTTTAAGTCCTCAAATTTTACATTTTTCTCATTTTGGACCTAGTTTAAATTGCTTGGTTCATTTAGACACTTCATCTTTTGAGATTTTTATATATAAAAAATTATCATTTAAAATTTAAAAAAAAAAATCAAATATCTAATAACAATAATAAAATACGTGGGAGATAATCTGAGTGGTGAGTAAGTTCAATTTGGTTGTGATTTGAACATTCTGATTTTTTTTTTTTAGATAAATACATCATAACATTTATAATATTTGTACATAACAAATTTTCGTTAATGATAAGGGTGCTTCACCTAAAATAAATAAAATCATCTTAATTTTCTCTTTTTTCCTTATTTGTATTTCTATTTTCCTAATTAATGATAACTAGAGTAATCAAGAAATTACAAAATAACAAAATATGAATAAATATACATACTAACAAAACTAAGATAAAAAAAAGTTACTACATAAATGATTGAATTACACCGTAAAAAAATTTAAAAAATTGATCGAATTATAATATTTCTCTTTTTTACAATATTTTATGCAATGTGTTTTGAAGGATTGTGTTTTTATTTATTTATGGTTGCACTCGTGAATATTTTACTTAAACCAAGCCATACTTTAATGAAATCTAAGAACTCGTAAATCAAAAATAAAAAGAAAAAAGTGATTTTAAGATTACCTTTACTAAAACATTGTTGGTTCTAATAATATATTAAATATTTTAAATTATAAATAATTATTATTATTACTTGTTAAATATCTACTGCCATCCCTTATAAATTTCATCTGTACTGCTAATACAAATTACACTTCCAACAAGATGATCAAGTTTGGTGATCAGTTGAGAGAAGGCTAAACATGACCATGTCTCTTGTTCTTCCCTTGAGCACAATATACTTGCTCAAAACTCCTTCCCTCGTAAAGCCAGCCTTCTCCAGCACCCTCTGCGATCCCACATTCTCCACATCCACCAGAGCATCAAGCCTCTCCAGATGCGGCCATTCCGTGAATATACTTCCGGCAACCAGTTTCACCGCCCGCGTCATAATCCCTTTTCCCCAGTACTTGGATCCTAAAGCATACCCCAGTTCACCCTTGCACCTATACTTGCCGGAATTTGGCGTCACCGAAATTGATCCGATGGGTCTGTTGTTGAGGCAGATTGCCCTGTACCATGGATGGCGTCTCACCACGTTCTTGATGAAGTTTATGCCTTCTTCTTTGTCGGTGTAAGGATCCCAAATGCAAAAACGGGAGACTTTTTCGTCGCTGACCCAGACCATGAAATGGTCGATGTCAGAGAGGTCAAGCGGCCGGAGAGAGATCTTGGAGAAATCTTTATCCTTACTCCCTTCGATGGATTCTGGTTGTGCCAGATGGAGATTACTTTCTTCCATTGTTTCCATTATGATTATGAGATAGTGATAACTGATA